AGACATAATGGGGCACTGGGAAGATTTTCTTTCTTCTTGCCTTTCTTGCCTTCAAATTAGAAAAGAGATATTGAGAATTAAACAGCAAACAGGATTTAACTTGACCTGCTTCTCTTACATTAGTTATGCCAGTAGCCTTTATCAATTAAATTAAACCGGACCTCTCATAAGATCTAGATATGATAACTATATTTTTTTGAAACTGACTTTAAATTACCTTAGAAATACGTAACTAATGATAAACATTGCAATGTGGCCACAGCTTGTTAAGGAAACTTTTATTATCAATAATCAATGTTTTACACTATTTAATGTTCTTTCTGCTTTACATACCACGTTGAATTTCTTGAGGCTTAATTGCGCATAAATGGTATATTATTCTTAAAGAAAGCAAATACAAGAGTTGCAAGTAAACATGTCATTGTCTTATCCACTTACCACCTGTTGCAAATTCCCCTGTAGATTTTTCTTGGTTTTCCTGTACCCAGCTTGATGGAAATCGGCCGAGAAGTTGTTCTGTTTTCCTAACCTTCTGACTGTCTTTGTAGCCTGTAATCAGCTACACCAACTCACTAGGTACATTCTTCATCAAATGCATTGTATCTGGAAAGACCTGGGTGGTGCGGTCATGGTCAGGAAGAAGCATCAAGCAGTAACATCCTTTGCTTCCAGTTGCTGTGGCAAAGCCTGCTGCCTGGGTAGGATTCTTGGCCTTTTTCATATGCTAAACTATTTATCATAACTTCTTCCTGTGTTAGCTTTTCAGGAGGTGGACGATTCTCTGCTTTCCCTGATGGGAAATTTTTCTTTGCCTTTCTTAGTGGGTGGTTGGGAGGAAGAAAGCACCTCTTGTTCATGTACACAACTTTGTCTAGTGCAGCAACATGGGTCCCTGAAATATAAGAATATTCCCACCTCTAGCACAACTGTGTACAGCTTGTATTTACAGCATTTGTTTTGTTTTGTCCTGTAGGTAATTTGTCATCTTGACAAATAATTGATTTTAATGGGTAGCAAGATGAGAGCTTCCAGGAACAGAAGACAGAACTCAAGACGGAGAAAAGCTGACTACAATAGGAACAAAGCTTTTCATGATGCACTGCAAATGTACCAGCAAGATTGAATAAGATTTGACCAAAGCAAAACTAAATTCACTTATAAAGCACCTGCTTTGAGAACAAAAATTCAAGACTTTTCCAGGTCTGCAAAACTGCTAGGCAAATGTCAATACTTTTTTTTCAGTCTTTCAAGACTGTGCAAACCCCGAAATTTGTACATGTAACTTTGAAAAACTGGGAGGCGTTACATGGGAGTATATCCTCATACACCCCCTAGCTATTTAAGTGGAGAATATAGTTTGGATTTTTGATTTATTGAAACTTAAGACAAGTGACACAAGATACGAGAAGGGTCTCGGGTCAATGACCTGACAAAGAAGGCTTCCCCACCCGACAGATGACATATAAGTCTAAGTTAAATATGACGAAAAAAATTGGTATTTGGTCTTAGTGACCCTGCAGATGGTATACATAACCCCCCGCATGAAAGAATTAACTGGAATGCTGGTGACATAAAAAGTGAAAATTGCTATTATAGTTTACAAGGAAAGGACTTCATATCCAAGAACATTATAAATTAAACTCTAATCTACAGTTCAAGTATTATACTGTTGGTGCAATATCTTGGAGTAGATAAGATTTAAGACAACTCACCTATAATCTCACACCACATACAACCTTGTAAGGCCCCTGCACCAGTGCAGCGAAAAACTTTGTTTAACCCTGGGTAGTCCAAAACATAATTGTGGAGATGCACCTGGAAGGTAAAGTAGTCTTCTTTGTAGCCATCATAGAATGAAGTTCCAGATAATGCCATCAGCTCATCAACAACAATTTCCAAGTAGGGGTCTACTTACCTGGGTTCCTCCTTCCCATTGGCAGGAATGACACCCACTAACATTAAGTTCTCAAAGCAATTTCGACAATATTTTGTCTTGCACATCATGCAGGTCGCCGTTGCACTCTGATTGAGCTGCTAAAATTTCCTCTTCGTCCTTTCCAGAAGCATCGCTTGCTTCGCATGCAACAGGAGAAAGGTGGTTCAAGAAATAGCTTGAAGAAGAATCTGAACAATGTCCCGAATAATCGTCCCCTGATGACTCTTGACCTTGATTATCAGTTTCCCGATCGTCTTCATGTGCTGCGGTTTTAGCTTGGCCTTACATTAAGTTGTCTCCAAAAACGGACTCGTGCCGGCGCTTTTTTTTTCACAGAACACAAATTTCCGTTACATAAATGGCATCCACAAGGTACTGGCGCTTTTTTCCTGTCTGTCCTTTCACTTTCGTTTCTTCCTCACCACAGACTCAGAAAACATGGCACAGCTTGCACTCTTCGAAAAAACGGGCGCAATTAAGGTGGCTCCCTAGAGTAAATTGGCTGTGCGCAGCGTGGGTACTAGTATGGTGCAAGCTTTAAAATCTGCGCGACCTCCACGCAAAAATAAAAACAAAACATGGCGTCTCTTTTAAGAAAAATTGCGCGAAAAAACTTTGTCAACTTTGTTAAGGCAAGAAGATTGGCCAGTTTTAGACAAACTTTTATCAAAGATGTTTTCGAGTGTCAAGCAATTTACCGGCATTTATCGATCCTCATTTCAGACATAAGTGTGAATTGCATCGTAAACAAAGAAGAAACTTTCCTTATACCTTGTTCGCAGTCTTGGGGATAGCTGCGGCTACCTCTAATAATATGGAAAAAGACTCTCTGCCCACATCATCTGTCAGTCAGAGCCTCTCTGTTACTACTCCTTTGTCTCCTTCGCACCAGGTAAAGCATAGCGCAAGTAGTCGCTTC